TTTTAATCCTATTTGTTTGATATTAAAGTCTTGGGATATTTTGAATTGCTTTAATTGCGTTTTTTAGACTCATCTGTCAGAAACAAAACTGTGACAAAGCCTTAGAGCGAATGGCAGACAGATAAAAAATGTTCATCTTTCAAATATCTAAGCTAACTAACATGTAAATACAAGTAAACCCCTTCTCTTGTGTTGCTCCTTGTAGTTTAGAATCTTGCTTCTCTTTTCATTTCTTTTCCCTGCATCCATGATTCAGTTTCCTGTCCACACTGTCAATAGAAAGATGTCAGACACCCCAACATGAAAAGCTTTCAAAAAAGCTCTTCCTCTGCAACCTATCTCCCAAAGCTGAAGTCATGGCTGTTCAAAGGAGGTCATTTAGGTCAACAAGCAGCCATAACAAGAAGTGACAGAGCATGTTAAAAACTAATAGACCCAGACGGTGCAGACGGACAAAAATTCACTGGCCCTTCTTCTTCCGAGAGAGAGATTGGTCAGGACATATTAGCTTGGAGACAGTAAGTCCTCTGCCTTATCAACTTTGCAGGAGTTTGTGTCCAGTCAATTTGAAATGGGGTGTGAAAGTGACCTTCTTTTCTCAGTGAATACTGATTATTCACCAGAAACAAAACCATAAATTTAATAAAATAATACAACCAGAAAAGCATGCTGTTTGGCTGCAGTGAGATTAAACTCACAAGATAAATGACTTCTAAATGTTCAGCGAACTACTTTAATTTTTTTCCATTCTGCTGAAGCAGACCCTCCCCACACTTACACTTTTCTCAGTGCAAAGACGTATGTGGTAAATTAACTTTTCATCATCTTGTTCTGCATGCAAGAACTACATAATCATATTAGAACAAGTTTTTCTATCCCCCAAAAACAGAACTGCAGATGATAAATTCCCAGAATTAAGGCAAAACACAAATAATTTAGAAAGATTTGTTTATCCTAAGACAATTTTAGAAACCCAGGCAGCAGCATTGGTGTGAGCTGGAATAAGTTTCTGAAGGTATAAAAACACACTGAAATTAGATTGATTTAAGGATATTACTAATTATCCAATAGTTTCAAACAAACTGGCTGTATGGTGTAGTACTGGAACACCATGCAAGAAGGTCTTAGATTCAAATCCCAGCCTGGGGTCTTTCTGTCTGGAGTCTATCCATTTAAGCTCTGTGCATTACGATGTTTGAAAATTAACTCTGTAAGAGTAATTACTGCCATTTGTTTTCTTAGTTTCCACTGCAGAAATCCTCGCACGCTCCGTTTACAGATATGTGGAGTCAGAAACTGTCTTAAAATTCAACTGATTTATGCAGGCATCGGTACCACAGCTAATGGAAGCAAATTGTAAGGAGGATGTAAAAAAAACACACAATTAGATTAAATTACATCAATTTCAATTGGTGAACTTTTCTAATTCTGTCCAGAGCTAATAAAATAAAACATTCCCAACAACCAAGTGGTATTCGATAACTAAGTACACAAGAATGAAATTATACAATTTAAGAAACACAAAGTCCATGCCTAAACAGAGAGGCAAAAGAAAGCAGAGAAAAAAAATAGAGAAGAAGAAGAGTAGTGCTAAAGATAGGACCACCCAGGCAAACAATCAGAAGTAACCACAACACTGTGTGCGCCTCCGTGTCCAGCTCAAGCATCTTCCTAAGTATTACCACCAGAACCTTTAATTCCCAACTGGTTCTGAACATGTTAGTTATTATTCCCCCACAATGGAGCTGTGTTTCCAAATCAGTGTCAACCTCTTAATTTCATCCCTTTCTGGGAGAAAACAAGAACAAATCTTTGTTAAACTGGAACATCACATGGTCCCTTTGTGTGTAAGCAACCTTTCTCCCACACAGGTCAGAAGCACAGCTATTGAAGAGCTCAAGCCTTAATTTTCTCAGCAATGAAAGCTTGACATGCAGAATTTCACCTAAAATGGGAATCAACCTTTGTTACGCCCCAATAAATTTGAATAAAAAGAAGCACCTTGCAGAGTCGAAAGATTTATGATGAGAAATTTTGCATTTAACTGTAATAAGAAGACAAACAAAAGAAAGAAAAAAAAAGACTGAGATAAGTTAGCTTGTCCTAGCATTGTGAAACCACAAATTTGGTGCATTGGGATGTTAATGCCAGACGTAGCCTGGACAACAGAGTTAAAATAGATACAAAATAAATAGCAACTGAGAGTTTAAATCTGGCCGTTTAAAAAGCTGATGGAGTAAAAAATGGATGTAAATTCCAGTTAAAAAAAGAAACAATATTAAACGAGTGTGTACTGGTAATTTTTAGCACTATAAAATCTCAGGGAGCATTGCAGTCTTGTTTTAGAACCGCATTACTCAAAGTGGCAGCATGTTGGAGTAGCTCCGTTATGCTATTTCTGATTTATTGTTTTTGTAGACTTTTGTTCTCATATTTGTTTGGACAATTTGCAAACATTGTAAAGATATTTACATTGAAAGCAATGTAAACATTCCAATTTAGAAGAGATTTAGGAATCTTTTCTAAATTTGAGATTTAGAGAGTTTTTAAAGAGGGGTGACAAAAGCAAAATGAGGTGGATTAGCAGAGCCTGCGGACAACTGATGGCTTCATCCAGGACATATTACTGTGAAATATCATCTCCGCAGATTCGTTGGAAAGTATTCCAGGTAGACTGCTACTGGAGATCCTTCCTCCCCACAGCACCACCATTTTTTTTAAAATGTCTTTTAATTTACTTTTGGGATAAATACCACAGAACTGAATCAACTGAGTGAAAAAAAGAACAACAGAGGTTTAAATTATACCCAGAGTTTGATGGTGGTGACATCAACAAAGTAGCATTTACAGTTACACCTACAGGTGTGATCATAAGACCACCTATAGGACAGCTGTAAGACGGATGAGATCATGTTTAAATGCATCCATCATCAAGAGCAGTGCAGAATCTTCTAATGGATGTTGAGTGAAACCTTGAATTAATGGAGGGTTCTCATGTTGTGTCTCTGCTTACCCAGCAATAAACACTTGCCTTGACAAACTGTCTTGAATTTGCAGAAGTAGTTGGTAAATTAAAACAGAATTTCTTTAACAGATGACGATTTGTGTTATAGTACATGGAATAAAAATTGCCACAGCTGAAATCTAAAGAAAAACAGACATGAATATCAGCTGGTAGAAGTCAGATCAGTGCCAATGAGTGAAGTCAAATTTCTTTTTTTGAAACTACTAACCATGAATGACTATAAGTCAAAAGAAGTCAGTGTAGTATTTTCTGATGTGATCTTTCAAATTAAGATATAGGTGTTGTGCAGTTTCATAATGAATAGGTTACAAAAAGCTTGCAGTAATCACCAGATTTTGGTTTCTTCATTCAAATGTAGCTCATTACTTGGCAACGTTGCGTTCGGATGCACAGAACAAACAGAACACTGCTGCGTGAAGAAACTGAGCCAGCATAAGCTAAAAGGGGCCAAGCAGGGCAGTTGTGTTGTGCAGCTGGGGCATGTAGTTTAAAGGTAACATTTGTGCATTCCTGTGTGGCCAGAAATAAACTGGTTAACCAACATCTGTTGTAGACACTGTAAAAAATATGCAAGCGTACGCCCACTCCTGTTAAGAGAGGTTATTAGAGGCTTTGAAGCTGCAGGGTTTCTGAAGACAAACTTTAAACAGATACACTCGCATAGAAAACACCTGATATAGTTAGAAAAGTCACCATTTACTAAGTTCATACTATATCTGTTCATGACATACAGCCGATCTGCAGTGCTGTGTAAATGTATTCACCGCTTAGAGATTCCTTCTGCTTCTGTGTTTCACTTAAGTGTCTCAAATCAAACAAAGAGAAAGATTATTTCATTTGTTAAGGAGGAAAAACTATCCAAACCTACATGACTGTAAAAAAACAAGTAATTTACCTTATGTCACCAGTGAACCCATCTCATGTTGCCAGACAGGTTCTATTCAACCTTTTTCTTGATTCGAAAAGATTGGCAGTAATCAGGCCTAGTAAGAACAGGCTGGGTAGTTTCTCTTTTCTTTTGAAAATTTAACATTATGTATTCATAAGAGGTATTAAAATCAGGCTTAAGAGGTATTAAAATCTGTTTGATTTGAAAGACCAAACTGTGACAAAAACTGTAACACTGTAACACTAACTGACATGACACTTTGCACTAAAATTACATTGTTTGCAAAATCATGCAAGGTTGGGACTTTTAATGTGACTTTTAAAGCAACTTTGCATTAAATGTGTCATTATTTACTGACTGACACTTCATGACAACAGTCATAGACATTCATAAAGACTTCTTCATGTTTATGACAGGAGTTATGTCAGTCTTATGCACACCCCGTCAAATAAAGTATTACCAAAGTGCATGAACCCAAGCCAGTTTCTAGTCTTTTCCCTTTACAATCTTTTCTTCCGTTTCTCTGTTTACATCTCACAGTTACTCAGCTTTCATGTGCAGCTGTAAAATTCTCACCAGCCTAAGTTTACTCTGAAGCCCGGTCCTACAAAAATACAACCTCCATGAGTCATGCAGTCATCTTTCTTCTGCTCATTATGTGAAGGATTAGCAGGTGATAAACTCTAGGCTTTCACAGGTGACCTATAATTAGACAGGTCTGATTATCCAAAGTATTTCCCATTAAGATCACAATGTAAATTCTAGACCAACTCACAAGGTGGCTAGGATCTGTCATAACACAAGCAAGCACAAACAATATTGCCGAAATTTTTTTTTAAATTAAATTAGCAAAAGTCAATAAATCAAATATTGCTGTTTACCAGATACTTCTGTAGAAACCATCAGATTATTCAGATATTTCCTGCTGAGGTCCTGCGGTCTCTCTTTAGTCAGCAAAGCTCAAGACAACAGTGTTGTTGTGTGAAAGCTGTAGACATAAACGAGGCACCAACTCTTCCTTGTGGTGTGAGAACAGAAACCGTCATCATTCTGTATCGCTGATAAGCTTCAGACAGCCAGTCTGACGCAGAGATGGATATTAAGAGGAAATATGTGGGGAAGGAGTAACAGATGAGTGCACAAAGAAGAGACGAGCCAATCAGTAGCACCGCGGTGGGTTAAACCAGCCTCACTACACAGATTCCCGGTGAAGCATTAACTTCAATGGAGCAGGTTTAAATATTAACATCCCATCGTGTATGACTGAAGGAGCACAGAAGCACCTATAACATCTGAAACCGGACTGGTTCACCGCGTTCCTTTGCCTTTTAAACCGTAACCAAACCAACAATCCCTCAACCAGAGGTTTCAACCAACTTGGTGCTTAATTATAAACACACAAAAAAGAAGAGAAAAACACACGCAAAGCAAAATAACATCCCTGAGTGGAAGTTTCCACTTTGTTAGCGCTTTTTATCTTCCTGGTCATCTGTTCCCGACACGCATTCTGTGCAAAAAGGTTTCCTGTTTTGCCTCCTTTTGTCACCGTCGTCGTGTTGGGGGGGTTTGTCGGGTTCTAACTTTAGAAGCTCTGCTAACATTCAACAGTTACCTGGATCTGTCCTGGATCAGGACCGCTGACAGTACGCTGTGCAAAAAAGCGGGAATTGGGTTAAGATCTCGAATCAGACAACATAAAACTGTGCATGTGGTCAAAAACTTTAATCTGTTGGTTTGTTGTCGTTATGCTGCACAAGTCCAAACCCGTCATTTATACTAAAGGTAGCTGTCATATCTTGATCTTGGTAAACAAAACATGTATCAATTCTAAACTACAGTAACCAAATCTCTTGTAGAGCTTTTTCTACAAATGCAATGATCAAAGCGCCTTTTCTTGTCAAAACAGAGAGAAATAACATCACCATTCCGTAGTGGCATCCCAACAAAGCTGTTTGTAGAAAATTTAAAACTTATTTTTAAAATGCTATATCTCTCCTCGAAAGGAGCTGCTCCACTGACGATAGTCACAAAATTAGGTAAAAATCACAATTTAAAAAATAAACTAATAACCAGCTTATACATGATATTCTTTTACCTGATTCTGAAGAGTCCACGCGTAGCTCGGCTAAAAGCAGAGCAGAAAAACAAGCAAAGAAACCAAGTTGCTGACCAGTCACTGTTGTCCAGTTGCTCTGACCACTTTCCTGCCTACTCCACTGACTCTCCCCCTCCTCCTCCTGTTCTCCAAAGTCTGCAACACCCAGCTCCAATAACCCATGACCCACAGGAAGTAGACACAATGGACTGAAAATAACACATCACCTCCCCTGGCAACAAATGCCCACCACAGCCCCCTGAAGCACACGGCCCTCTGCAATACAGAACACCTTGGAGAGGCCGGCTTAAGATAGGTGAGAAGAACCAAAAATATCTCCCGCTGCTCAACAGGCGGATCCGCATGCCAAAGCGGGTTCTGTCCCACTGTCAGTTCACAGCTTGTTTCAGTGTTTCTGCAATTTTCAGGACAATTTTTAAAGACCATAAAATGCACATCTTAAAACTGACATTTTGTGTTAAATTTACATAATTTTGTAAGTTTAAGAGCTAGATAAATTTTTGGAAATTAGGTTAACTTAAAAACAATGTGTTTGACTTTACAGATGCGTTTCTTTTGACTAGAAGCATTGATAATGTTTTGGCGACTTCTGATAGAGAATTTGTGAAGGAAGCTAAAGATTAGGGTGATTGAAATGAGGCCTTTCAAAAACTGGAGCTCATCACCAAAGATCGATCATTAAACAGGCAAAAAGCTGATAAGCCAAATCTGCCAGCGGTATGACTTTATTCACTTTACTTAACAGCCTTAAATACTTCGCAATTAAAGTTAAACATAAGTGTCAATTTGTCTTGTTTTTTGAGGCAATTGCTTTTGTACTGTAGAGTGAACAAAACCTTGAAATTTGACCTTTTCACCTCCGACACTCTTCTTTCCTACAGAACCTAAAGGACCCATTAGAAATCATTATTATACTGTCATTATCAATAGGAAAAATGAACAAGAAATTCTACAAATTACAGCACTTTTTTCTGACATTGCAACCTGTTGCATTATTTTCTTTATACAACTGCCTATTTTACTAGATGAGACACCAAATATACCTTAATATGCATTAATAGGTCTTGGCACTACTACATAAGTAAATATCTAGTATTGCTCATCTCCACAGTTGGGAGAACAACCAGTCAGCAACGAGGAAATTAATGGAGCTCCTCAATTGGCTCCTTTGCAAGCACCAGCCATTGGCATGTCAAACAGCACTGCTTCAAGGTA